GGATGTTAGAAGAACGTAACTGTGTCGCAGCACCCTCGACGATGATCCAAATCCGGCGGTATTTGATGGATAGACGGAGGGCGAGACGGCCGAGGGGTGTGCGTGACATGTGGTCTAGTTCGTCGGTGGAGGGCGGGGGTGGAGGGATTTGGGAGAGGAGGTTGTGCGGGTAGAATCTGCATATTTGTCAAATGCAACTGAGGTGAACTGGTTGATGAACAAGGGGTGGGAATGCAGCGGAGAACGTACACGACGCAAGTCTTCTCGTCGATTATCAAATCGGCGTCGAGGATATCGTCTTCTGTTACTGATTCGCTCTATTTTCGTGCCCATTTGCTGTTAACATTAAATGATCCAAACACAGCGACGTTACAGCATCAGAATACTAACCGGTCGATACACCATATCCCTCTCAATCATATCCACCCCACGCTCATACTCCAACGCTCGCACAAGCGCACGGTTACGAAGTAGGCGGGTGCTGGCGATATACAAGTGCCGACGGGATTGGGTCGGGTCGAACGGCGGGAGTTGGATCGTGGGCGCTGGTGGCGGTTGGGGTGGAGCTGGAATGATGTGAGTGGGATTGGGGGGAATGGCTGCGATTCGGGAATGTCTACCTTCCGTGTTTAAGGCGGTAGGAGCAGGTGTTGGTTGACGCGGGGAATTGGCAGGGCTGGAAGGTTGGACTCCGAACCCGCTCGAACCGGGACGAGGACTAGGTTTCGTCCGACTTTTGGATGCTGAAAAACAAAGTATTTCGGTATGAGAATACAGAACACCGTAGCGACATCAAAATGGCCGAATGTGAACTCACAGTTTTTCCGTCCTCGTAACCGCAAAAACTCATCAATGGACGTTTTGGCGGAAAACTTCGTAACAGGAACGACAGGCATGCTTTGCGACCCGTCCATGGGCGAATGTTGCTCGTTCGGACTGTACGATTTTCCTGAGGAGGGTGGGCGAGTGGGTGTACTGGGTATCGAAAAGTGGGGCGAAGTGACGGGTTCTTTGTTCACGGCATCAGTACGCGGGCGGCCGGTGTCGGGGTGATAAAACTGGTGCGCAGCAGTAGGGCGACTTGGACTTGCACTGCTAGGAGTAGCGACGCCGGGTAGTCTTGACGGACCTCCAGGATCACGGAACTGGGTGCTGACGTGCTGCGCAGTGCTTGGTCGCCGCGCAGACTCGGTCCACGCTGGCGGGCCACACTTGGGATTAGTTTCCTCCTGGGGACGGGGTGGAGACACTGTGGCATGCTGACGTTCCGGCGCCGATGGCCCACCCAATGGAGATGGAGGAACGGATGCTTGGCTGGAATCTTTGGGCCGGATTGAAGATTTCACCTTTTCGCGCAGCACCGCTAGATTTTCAGCTCGCCTTGTTTCGATCCGGTCTTCAGGATCCAGCGGTATTGCTGTTTCCGTTTTCCACCCTAATGACGAGAGTATCTATGAGCACTCAAAGATCCACTTGCAGAACAGCAGCCCATAGGGAAACAAACCTTCAATCAATCTTTCCACCTCATCCGTCGTACATCCCCACGCACTTTCATCATCCTCCACACGATCCGATTTCGCAAACACCAAATCTTCAAATTTCACTCTTCCATGACCGCTGATATCTTCCATAGCTTTGATTGGATTCCAATGCAACACGGTCACTTCCACACCCGCCATGTCCGTGAACGGACGTAGAGCCAACGTCTGCAAGATGAAGTGGCGGAAGGTGGGCCAGGGATCGGTGGTTGGATGGAAGGGTGGTGGGAGGGGTAGGGATGGAACTATGCGGAGACAAACGCACGCATTAGGTTGACGGATGTGGTTTATGGAGCTGAAGGCGACGCACCCAATACGTACCAGGTATCCTTTTCGATGACACAATGTCAAACTCGGCATCCAACAACCCCCTTATACCGGCGCCCCTCAACGAGTCGAATACCGGGATGAGATCGTTCTCGGGATTCGAATTCGAGGTGATTTGCGACTCTCGTTCCTCATCGTCTTGCGTAGCTGTGGCGGCCGACGGATTCGGACCGGTTGCTGCTGCGATGTCAATCGCTTCTTTCATTGATCTTTGCAATAATGTTCTTTGAGCTTCAAATGACATGCAAGGAACATCGGAACGCGTTTGGCTTACGGTAATGGTAAATCATCGGTTCTGGCTCGCCTGAACGACATGGATTCAGCTACGTCGGCTCAGTTTCCAACCTGGAAAGGATAACAACACTCACTTTTCACCAATCTCCGGTTCCTTTGATTTCGGGAAGATTGGCACTTCTGTTTTTTTGAGGATAATCCCATTGTGAGAGGGAAGCCCGACCCCCTACATCACAAGAGGGAAAATCGACTCACCAAACTCGACAAGCTGTTTCCGCTTGCAACTCGCGTCCCCACCATCCATCCGTTCAACCATCTTAGCAGCAGATTCTTCAGGACGCACTAAATCCAGAATGTCTTTCTCTGAGGTTCGGTCCCTCATGGCATCTTTAACATCATCCCAGACTTTCCGATCCGCCTCCGAAATCTCGATTTCCATGGATTCCTCTTCGGAGGGTAGCGTAGCGTTAGCGTTACAGTTTGAGGGTCCAGCACGTGGGGTGGGATTGAGAAGCACATACCTATGAAACCCCTCTGAGATTCTCCCGGAACAATCTGCTCCGGCGAATCCTTCAAACTCATTGGACCTCCTGTGGGTATCCACTCTATGGAAGCGAACAACCCTGCTCCATCCTCAATGTTTGTGTTCGGTTGCGAGGAAAGGAAATTGGCGGGAGGGATGACAGTGGTATCACGTCGGGAAGGAATCAACGGCACCTCCAATTCAATATCCAAAGCAAGTCGCGCCTGGGAATGAATGGATGAGCGCTGTTGGACGGCGAAAGAAGAAATGACTCGGCAGTTCGAGTTAAGCAACCTGTTTTGCAGCTTGCGCAAGGGCAATATCGCACATGCCTTTGAAGTCATCCCCGCCTTCTTTGCCATGAGCTTTAAGCAGCATTCCGACAGGGTCCATAATTTCCATCAGCAGTTCAACCGTGTCTTGTTGCACGATGGGTTGATCCTTTTTGGAACTAACGAACGTTTTGAAACTTCTCCAAAATGCTTTCATTGTCAGATACGCTTGAAACCGATAGGCAGGCCTTAGGTACGTACGCATATTCGAGGAAATCAGGACACCCAGGGTATTTTGGATCCGTAAGCGAGAGCTGGGGTATCCTTTTCCCCAATTCTGCAATCGATGGGAGAGGTGGGTCCCGTGCCGTAGCCGCTGAAGTGTGGGTTACTTTAGCTGGAAGTAATCTTTCTTCCATTTCGGGCGGTTTACGTTTGGAAACCCATTTCTCGACTAGATGCAACGGTATCCAACATGAAATTCAATTTTGTCGAGACACCGGCGGCGACGATGCAAACAGACCTTTGAGCAGCTCCTCAACTGGGCCGCCGACAATGCCCTCCACATTACTGTTCGCCAAATGTTCAAGCAATTGCAGCTCCTCGCAAAATGCCACGACGCCGTTCGCGTCTGTTTTCACGACCACGTCGTCGAGCACCCATTCGTCTTCCATAACCAAGTCTTCCACCAACGCGCTGTCGTCGTCTTTGTAATCGGGATCTCGGAGACTATCCATCGCCCACGCAATATCATCTTCGACAGGAGGGAAAACGGCGTCGTTGAAGGGTTGATGTGTGGTTCCGAGAAAACGAAGCCATTGGGTATCCGCCCAGTCTGGGATGGCATTATCCACAAGTCAGCCTTAAATAGCGGACAAATGGAAACGAAATGATGGATTTCCCCGTGCATACGACTTTCACGCCACTGTTGACCAGTGAAGTCTTTCACAAGACGGAAGGAGGGCAAAGGTCGCGCGTACCTTGTCCAGCCAAACCGATCCTGTTGACATCTTGCACGACATCCGCGCGCCAACCGCCATCTTCATTCTCATCAATGCATAGCTCCATGTGGATGTTTTGACGAATTACCACGTTTCACTAAGATGTCTCGAGATCTCTGGGAAAAGGAGCCGCGAAATGGCGGGTCACGTCCAATTAAACCATTTATGGTCAAATGGACCCTGTTCCAATGCGCAGTCATCCTCCAGCTCTCACTTATATATCACTTTTGCTCCCACATTTCTTCATCACATCTCGGTTAGTATAATGGTTCAGTATCTCCGCCTGTCAACGACAACAGTCCGCGGAAGATCCGGGTTCGATTCCCGGACCGAGAGTGCTTCATGGAGAACTCCGCTGTGGAGTTTACATTCCCTTTTTCTTGTTTCTTTTCTGGTCGGTTTGCTCTGTTGAGTCGTTGGTGTTATGCTTCCTTTTTGGTACGTTGGTGGGTATGGTTTTATCTAGTTGTCGGTGTTGTGTGTTCGCTTCGCATAATGTCAAACCAAGTACAACCAAGTACCAAGTACGCTGAACCGTTCAGACCAAGTACGCTGAAAGGGCACGGAAATGAACCCGCTAGATGTACCATTGACAAACCCCCTGTGAGCGGAATCCGTTGCAGCAGACACGAGAGGCCTGCCTCTTGTCGTGCATTCGCGTGGAATGAAGTGCTCTCTTATACTGACAGAAGACTGCGCAACTAATATATGTGGGACGGGGTCTTTTGTGGCATGAATTTGGGGTACTCCCTGGACGCATATATTCATTTCATATTAGAATCAGCCGCAACATGCGGAGTACGTGGATCACATCCACCCAAGCGTCGCGTCGCGTCGCGCGCCTTCAAAAGCCGTCCGCCGTTCAAAGCTTACAGCTTTTCGTGTACTCTTTACGGCCTAGATTCGGCTTTTTTGCCCGCTCGTTCCGTCGTCGCGCCTACGTTTTAGCGCCACCCATTTCGCAGTCGAAAATTAAAAATTAATAAGATTGGCGAAATGGGGCCCGGTTGAATCACGGTGAGTACGGCGGCGGCGGCGGAAGCGACATCTCTCCGTCCACTCCCTCCCCCTCTTCCTCTTCCTCTCCCTCTCCCTCTCCCTCTCCCTCTACCGGTGTTGGATCAAGGGGAGTACGTCGTCCATGACGGCTTTGGCCGTGTCGACGGTGTTGATGAATTCGAGGCGTAGGGCTACGTGAAGAGCGGTTCCCTCTGTATTTGACCGACCACTCGGGGTATGTAAACTCCTCCTGCATAACCCTTTCACAGAAAAGGCAGCATACATCTTCCACCCACTCCAATCGGAGTCCTATGCCTTGTAGGAGGAAGACGGGAATGAGTACTGGGAGGAGGAGGCAGGCGAGGATCCTTCTACAAAGGCCCGACAGGAACTGCATGCCTAGATTGTAGTGTTGGGGGAAATGGGTATAATCGAGTTTGTCATTCGTTGTGTGGGGTGGTGGGTTATTCAGGATGGTAGCGATAGGAGGTAGATGCTAGTGTTTTATGTGTGTGTGGTTTTGGACCAGTGCGGGCACACGGCGGGAATTAAGAAGGAGGGAATTCTTGAGAATTGCCTCCATGCGGTGGTGCCCGCGCGTACTGTATACAATTCTTCGTATCCATCGGCCAATCATAATCCAATACGGTTTTGACGCAACGGCAATTATCCGTATATTAATATTTTGCTTCCATCCCTCTCCATCGCCCCCGTAAGTTGTACTCTATGTAAGTAACGCGCTCTGTTTACGCTTCCCTTGGGCGTAGTATGCGGATACCCAATGCCGGTCACGCGTTTGTCCGAACCTGCATGACTGCGAATCCCCTCCACCATCTTCCCACCATTTCAATGAACTTGCATCACCGTCGCCATGACCAAGATATTATCGAACTTTATTAACGGCGAGTTTGTTGCACCTAGAGAGGGAAAGTACATTGACAGGTTAAACCCTGCAACTGGAAAGGTGCGCGCCGCAGGGGAACGCCGTCGCCCAAGGCCGTGAACTCAAACCCTCGCGCCATATCCAGTTGAATGCCCAAGTGCCAGACTCGGACGAACAAGATGTCGAGGCGGCAGTATCCGCCGCGACCGCCGCGTTTCGGTCGTGGTCACGCACGCCGAGGGAAAAGAGGTCAAAATTGTTGCACAGGATCGCTGACTTGCTGGAGAGTAGACTCGAGGAGTTTGCTGTTGAGGAAAGCAAGGATCAAGGTTTGACGTGCAGACGCAACGATTTGGGAGGCGTGGGATGAGTATCTGACACTCGAGATATGAAAAGGCAAACCCGTATCTCTAGCTCTCACCGTGGACATACCAAGGTACCACAATCCAAATCACACCGGACATATCAGACACATTTTTTCAATACAAATTCCATACATACTATATCCAGAGCTGTACAAAATTTCCGATACTTTGCCAACTTCATTCTGACAACGCATGAAAAGAGTTCGCAATTGGACGGGGTAGCCGTGAATTACGTCCAAAAGAGTCCCGCGGGAGTGGCGGGGTTGATTTCGCCTTGGAATTTACCGTTGTATCTCTTGACTTGGAAAATTGCGTATGTGCCAAATGTCCTCCCACCTTTGAGTTTATCTTTGGTCCTTAAACGCATTCGCTGTGTTTTTTTCCTTTCTTTGAAGGCCTGCCATGGCTTGTGAGTGTTCCCTATATCCCGCCGTATGTTTAACATTCCTCCAGTTAACGGAACCGGTCCACAGTTGGTTGCACATGCGTGTGCAAACCCAGCGAATTCACCAGTGTAACAGCTTGGATGCTTTGTTCGCTCATCAAAGAAGCTGGCGTCCCTGATGGTGAGTCAAGTTTCGTCTTGAGCTTGGCGTGATGAAAACTTGTTCATGTCCGGGTTTCACAGGAGTTGTAAATATGGTATTCGGAACCGGTCCAAAAGCTGGAGCTGCGATTGTGGCGCATCCTAACGTCCCGTTGATTTCATTTACTGGAGGTAATTTGTGAAAAGTAGCCGGTTGCCCACACTACATGTTGGCAGCCGGTCAGGCGAGGGACTTGAACACGGCCATAACTAACCTGCTTTCTGCGACAGGAACGGTCACGGGACGGGCAATTTACCATGCAGCCGCGCCATTCAACAAAAAGTTGTCGCTGGAGCTAGGTGAGGCCCACCCTTGCGGCGGGACTTGTTCATCGCCACACAAAACCTGATGTCTCGTCCAATTTCTCTGTCTCCAGGCGGCAAAAACGCAAACATCATCTTCGCCGACGCAAACTTTGACGAAGCCGTCGCAACAACCATCCGGTCTTCGTTCGCCAACCAAGGCGAAGTCTGTCTTGCTGGGTACCTTCCCCATCCTTTCTTCCCCCCCTAACGCCTGGGCATTAACGTCACAACCTAGATCCCGCATCTTCGTCCAAGACATTATCTACGACCGCTTCGTATCCGCTCTCACCGCCCGCGCCAACGCGCTGATCGTCGGCGACCCCGCGGACCGCAAAACGGAGATGGGAGCGTTGATCAGCAAGCAGCATTTGGAAAAGGTGTTGTCGTATGTGGATATCGCGGTTCAGGAAGGTGGGGAGG